ACGCGTGAACTTTCATCATGCTTGAATGCAGTAACTTTTTGTATGTACCGTACTTCTGAGTACGCTCAATTGAATTCCTAATCACCAGCAGCTTCCAGAGGCATCACGAGCGCACAACACAAACAAATCTGACGAGTTCTCACGACAACCAGGCGAGCACACGAACATGATTGAAATGCAATTAGCGTGGGACGTAAGTGCACGCTGACGATGACTGGAGCTTATGCCTCGCTGCACAGCGCAAACGTTAGGCGGCACAGCATACCCTTTCGGATCAAGGCGGAGTATAATTTCCGAGGGCGCCTTTCACGTTGGGTATTTCATTCGCGCATTCTTGAAAGTCCAATTTAATCGTCTTCCTTGCATGCAGCGGCAAAATTATTACTCCCCGGCTTATTTTATTCCCGCTTTTTGCTTCTGCGATGCAATAACGCGCTGCTCGTGAGCAGATTAATGGTGATTTTAAGCTGCAGAAGAAGTGCATCGCAGATTAAACAATCGCCGCCGGATGAAACATGTTCTCTTGATGCAGCAAAATGCAGCAGCGGTGCAAAAGTTTTGCACTTTTGAGCAGCTCAGGAAGTGAACTTTGTTAATTCGACGAAACACACAAGTCTCTTAAGACTCATTCCAACTTTGCACTTTAATGAGTTGACGTGCACTTTGCAACTTATCAAAAGGGATTCAAAACATTATTACTATGCCGACTGCAACAAAAGCTGCGATCTCGCTATATTGCGAGAGTGAATCAAATTGAATTTTAAATGATGTTTGAAATTTTCACATATATAAAAACTATAGTTTACGCAACGTGTGGAGTAAAAACCACGCTTTGCAAAAAGGCCAGTAATTAGTGTTGGGAAAACAGCGTCAAGTTAATCAGATGCTCTGTTTAGTCGCTGGTTGGGCAAAAATGGAGCAGAAAACGGACTGGTTGGCAACACGATAAACAAAAGCGAGCAATGCAAACAGCATAGGAAAATGTCCGCAGCGCAAATTAATCCCAGCAGTCACGTAAAAAAGATTACACTAGCTAGTAAATGTACGTTCCCGATGATAAAGGCGGTGTGCGTTCAACAATATTTAGGTGGGTTGCTTTCAAAACATCCCAAATGGCATCTTGTTGGTATTGATTGGTTGGAACCACAGCTTGCCTGTAACGTGTTTTGCTTCGTTTGTGACGTTGCCACAAGAAATGATATATAATAAATTGATCAAAAAAAGATAATTTGTTCTATGCTGAGGGTTGATTCAAATAATAAAAAAAAAATCATGTCAAAAATCGAAAAAATCTAAATCTAGATTCAATTCAGAATTTAAAATACACAATTTCTTCACATCTTTAAGCAACAATAAATTTGTTCCACTTGTCATTGATTGGTCTCGAAGAACTAATTTTTGAAAAATAAAAAAAAAATTGACATGATATCATTATTTTTTTTAAAGCTGGAAAATTCTCATTAAAAAAGGTTAAAATAGAAAATATGGAGATTGATATTAAAAGTCGGGTTATAGTCATTCAGGTCAACAAGGCAACCATGTATGAATAAAATTGCAATTGACCTTTGCACCGTGAAAAATCGTTTTTCATGAATGTGTGCAGTGCATATAAATAAATTGTCTGAATTAGAGCGCGCTTACGTGCACTTTGCTGGTCCACTCGAGCTGGCAGTCGGTCGAATCAAAGCACCATAGCATTGCTAATTTGCATCCATTTGGTGGCCTATTTTTCGCCGGTGCAGATCTCGCGCGCCAGTGAATTGTGGGGGAGCTGCGCTTGTCCCAGGCGGGTAATTTGTGTGTCAGCCGCGTGCACCCTTTTCCTATTTGCATTTTAATTGCATTCAGGCACGAGGGAATAGTGAACTGCCGTTTTGCACAATCACGTTCTCGCCGTGTTTGGATTTAAAATTTGTTTTATAATCAGTCGTTTCACACAAATCTCAGTAATTCATTTTGAGGTTTTCATGACCAGCAATGTTTTACTGCAAAATCTAATTACTTTATTTCACTCCGTAATTGTAACTAATTTATAAAGAAATACAATTGTTGAAAAATTTGAGAAGATGGTAAAATATAGGCATTCAGTTACCTTTGATTCCAAAAGTTATAAAGATGAAATAAATTTTAGAATTGAAAATTTCTTTCAGTATTGAAAATAATAACTGTGTTGTTCAATTATTCCTTTCCAGAAAAGCAATTTCCGCTCTTTCCATTTTGATAACTTGTATTCCTCCTTTGCGGCAGTGTTGGCAAGAATTTCCTTATTCAAAACAATGCGCAAAACACAATTGAAGCGCGCGGTGAAAATTGCACTCGGCGGGCGAGAGAGCAACGCCTCGAGTCACCGCACGCGCAATAATTGAATCGCCGGGCAGCGGAGGAAGTGGAGGGAAGAGAAGAGGTGCAAGTAAATCATAAACAAATGTTTGCCTGCGAGCCCGCTGGTCTTTTTGCCCTTTGTGTAGATTCCGCATTTATTTATGGGTGTGTCGGCAACGGCGGCTTTATTAACTTCCTCCGGGGCTGCTTTTGCAAAGAGGCCCGTGTTTGTTGCGCGCTGCTCTCTTGTAGCACTTGAATTATGTAAGAAGATGGCCTCTGCGCTCTTTAGATATAATTCCATAAAGCAGGAGAGACACATTAAGCAGCGCCGCTTTTTGTACCTTGCTGGCGAGAAAGGCTTTTCCGCTCCGCTCGACCGAGCCAAAGACCAGCGAGGTCTTTGTGTGCGTATTTGCGATGGGGTTTTCCACCTGCCGGACTCGTCGACAAGGATTTTCGACGAATCGCAAATGGAAGCTTTGATTGGTGACAGCACTGCGGTGGCATCTTTTGTGCTCAAAGCAATGAATGGTTTTGCGGTGGCGCAATACGGAGAGTTCTAACAATGCGATGAGGACGAAGCGTCAACTTGATAAGGGAAACTTTGTACAAAATGTTTCATACTTAAATAACAATGAAAAATCCATAACAAAAATCTAAATTAATTAATTTACAATCTTGTGTTTAAAAAATATATAAATTGTATAAAATATATTTATTAGCTATGGACAGATCTGTTTAAAATTGTATTTAATTTATATAATTATTACTTAAAATATTTTTAACTTTTATAAACACGAAATTTTGATAATAAAACTGAAAATAATTATAAATTCAAGTAGAAATAGAAATTGTATTATTTAAAAAAATTAATGTGTAAATTTATTCAATGATTGATAAAAACTGTTTAATGATAAGTTTAAAAAAAAATGAATTAATAAAGTAATTACCAAGTTCAAACTATAAATAATTGGAAAAAGAACAATCTGAATATCCAACCCTATTTCTTTACCCACTTCTCCAAAGTATTTTATGGCTGAAACTTTTGTTCTTGTAAAACAAACATTTAAAATAAAGACAAAAAATTCACCAACTCAGATCAAATAGCAAACTCAACCGACTGAAAGCAAACACGGCTCTGTCCCCAAACCGTTCTTATTATTCGTGGTTGGAGAGAAACCTCTCCGTCTCCAAACCGCCTGCAGTCTCTTCATAGTATACCAAGTTTCAAAACTCTGATGACCCGGCCGCTAGAGAGCGAATTCGCGCTAAAGAATAAAGGCGGCGAGAATTTCACTCGGCCGAGGATTTATTCAGTCAGACAAAGAAAGGTACCCATCCCATGCACGGCACCTGCACAAAGACGCGCACGTGTGATGCGAATTTCATTTTATAATGCGCGCGTATTGCGCGTCTCTTGAAGCGGAAGGAACGCCCGCTTCACCTTCCAACAGTTCTCGGATCAGACGTTTCGGAAATGGACTGGCGCAGAGTTTAATTCCACCCATAAAAGGCCTCCTTTTAACACGGGGAGAGCGTACAAATGCGAACGGAAGGTGCAGCCCGTGTGTGTTAATTATTTCTGCGATTCAATGCGCGCACAGCTTTTGTCGAGCCACGAAAGTAGGTGGCTTCGTGCAAAGCTTTTCCTATTGTTTTGAGGGAAATTAATTCTCTCCGAAGCAACTGCTAATTTGCCGGAGTATTTTCTAAAACGAGAGGAAAATTTAGAACAATACAGCGACGAAGTAGAAAGAGTACCTTAAGCCAGTTAAGCCTTAAATCTGTCATATTCCAGAGAATTTTTATTGAAAAATTGAAATAACTTGGTAAACAGTAATTATGTGTGAAATATTTCAAATTTAAATCTATTTGGTTTTGATTGAATTAAATTAAAATGTTCCATTTCTCCTTTGGAAATAATTTCTTTTTCTTTTTTCAGAAAATTAAAATATCTGGAAACCTGAAAAGCGTTATTAAGCAAGCAAATGTGTCTCCATTTACCCCAAACTCATTCCCAGCCAAAATGGAACACTTCCGAAAAAGGGTTACTAATAAAAAGAGATTACGTTCATCAGGAGAACAATAATCGTAGAGTTCATTACGACGGAAAAGGTGTGCCGGGCGTAAAAAGGCAGATTTTGCTCCTAACTCGATCGCAACCCCTGGCACGGGGCGTAATCTGATAAGGAGGGCGCTTTTATGACGCGCCGCTGACAGCCAGGCCGAGGTTGCAGCAGAATTTCCGGCCGCAGCTAATCTCTTTCCCTCATTCCTTCAGACAAAAAAACACACACACCCTCGCTGCTACAAACTATAAGGGTAGGCAACTGGCCGGGCACGTTCGTTTCCTGCTAATAATAAGGAAAGGCCGCCTTTGAACGATCATAAGAGGATTTCATTTGGCGCGAGATTGGGACCGTGATTGAGTCTCGCCCACTCATCAAGCGTTCACGGCCACCAAGAACAAATACGCCAATCATATTTTCACTCTTGGCGAATTGTTTTGAATAATAATTACATTAAAATAAGAAAAATGCAATGAGATCAAGTTAACAAATAGAAAATAAATAAGAACAATAAAATGCGTATTGTTCCTGTGAATTCTGACTATTTTGGATTTATAGCAAAATATTTTACTGTTAATATCGTTTCAAAAATTCAATTGTACTCACCAAAATGATTCCCAGTTTTTCTTCTGACGATCTTTTCACGCTTCTCAGCAATCTGAAACATCCAACCATTTTTGTTAGTTACATTATTTGCACCACAATTCGGCAAATATCGAGGTAAATTTTTAAAATGTTCGCAAAAACTTCCAACAGATCAACCCTATAAATTATTTTAGCAATGATGATACACATAATAAAGCATTGTACGGTTTAAATTATGTTCATTCATTTATAAAGAACTGCAAAAAGAAAATTGAGCAAAATGAAACAAATTCAATATTAATATAATTGAACTGAAAATAAACGTTCAAATTAAAATTATATATTATATCATTTAAATTTAAAAAAAAAAACATTTTAAATTAGTATTACAAATAATTTAAATTATATAATTAAAACTTGTATTTTTTATTATTATTATTATTCTCAAGTAATGTTTGTTCTTGCAATCAATATGGATCTTTTTTCTTCATAAAAATGTAGCTCTCAACAAGCAGGCAGAGTAACTTGCTCATTAGGCAAAGGCGGGCGCGAGTTTGCTTGAATAGATCGACTGATGATTTGCCTTCTCCCTCGTGCTCTTTTTTTCCGTCTCGCATTCAGTTGTACAGTCGCGAACGAACCAAGACATTGATTGCATCGCAGATAACAATCTCGGCAGCCAATGTCTCGGAACTCGTCGCGTCGACTCTCGCAACAACAACAACAAACTCACTTTATTGAGTATATACGTTTCTTTCACGTCATGCGGCAAACCAATAAATTGCAGTGCCAGAGGAAACATTCGAGATACGTGTCTGGAAATTTTCCTCCGAGTTTGTTCGCACATGCAGGAAGCGAGGGGATTGAGGCGCGCACGCCTTTTCTGCTGATAGAGACGCAAAAACGTCTCTCGACGCTTCTTCAGCCGCTTGATTGAAATGGATTTTCTATTTTCTCGCCTTCCACTCCTTGCGGCTGCACTTTCCACACAAATATGCACCATTTTGTAAATTGAGTAAGAAGTGATAGAAAATATTTCCACATTAAAAAAATACTGACCGAATTTTTTATTAACTTCAGTGAAATTTATCATTCAAGCCTCATTACATCTGAAATTATTTTAGAAATTTTGTCACTGATTTTGCAAGAATTGAATAATTATTGATTTATGATGTAAATATTAATAAATAATTTAGGTCAATTGACATAAGTGCAACCCTCAAAAATCAGTTTTTAATTTTTGCCAATATCAATTAATGTGGTGTTAAATTATTTTAATTATTAAGAACCATAATTATTTTATATTTTGTCCAGATATTTTTTCTCTTTTGTGCAATTAATGGATTTTATCACGTCCTGAATATATGTATACTAAAATTATTCTCTTTTCTTTGGGCTTGATAATATTTCTCCTGTAGCTATATTTTCGTTCAAAAATTAAACGTGCGTGAAATTTCTTTGAAAAGCGGCTCAGGTTGGATTTTCAGTAAATTTTCTTTAGAAATCTTTTGTGCCTCCGCTTACAAAAGCCTGAAAAATTATGATAAGCTCCAATTCAGAGCTCGCTTTTATTCATAATTCCACGTGGGACGAAATCTTGCTGAAAAGAGCATCTCTGCGTTGGTACCTCAAAAGAGGCAACTGCAAAGAAAAGCGCTCTCATATTTCCCGTGCCCGGCCTCTTTGTTTAGCGAGAATGAATCTCTGAAATTTCTCGAAACACGGCTATTCAAGCGTGAAAAACAATGCTGGCGGAAAGAATTTGCAATTCATTCTGCGCCCCGGGGAGGCAAAGCGTGCGTCGTCGACAAAAAAAGCAATCCGCCCCTAATTTACACAACCAGACGAAGAAGAGAAGAAAAAATAACCGACCCGACTGCCGCACGCATTATGATAGCCATCTTTTTCCCATCGCATTTTTTTTCTATATATGTATTTTTTCCTGTGTGCCACATGGGCGGCCGACGCAGAGCCATAATATTTCAGCTCGGAACATGGATAACAAAAGTTGAAAGTTGCAGCCTCGCCCGCCGGCCGGGCTTTTCCTCCAAAAGTTACCCCCGACCGGCCTGGGATTCCGCCACTTTCCACCAATGGCCTTTCCAGTCTGCCTTTCATTGTGCTCTCTTAAAATGTGCAGTTAGGGGGCAGTTTGTTTGTAACGACACCAGACAGTCTCTCTTACTTATTCTCAAGTCCCTTGTCTCGACAGAAATTCTGCTCTAACTCTTCCCTCTTTTGCTCATTACGACAAAAGAGCAGCAGCGGTCCTTCCGCTGCGTGAAGATTTTATCGCCCTCCGAGGGCGTCTTGCTCGCGACAAGTCCATTCTGGCTCTCTTTAAATTTTGCATTCTTAAATTCTGCGTGAGCTTGTGACTCTTGGGTCCTGCTCAGTAATAGCGAAAGAGAATTATTTCTCCAGGGGAGGCCCCGACCAACGTAAGGAGTCCCGCAAAATTCTCTCTCCTGAGCTAGAAAGAGCATTAATTTTTTTACAACGCATGAATAATATAATGGTTGTTAGACTATTTAAAGATGGAGGAAAATAGGTCTGAACACTTTTTTAATAAATTTGTCAGAAAAGAACTAAATGTCTTGGTGAATTAATTATACATTGAGATTTTAAAATACCCTATAAATAAATAAACTATTTCATAAAAATCTCTTGTTTCAATTATTGTTCACGTATTTTAGCAAATGGCAACATTTTTTGTATGACAATTAATCCCTAAAACCACCAAAATTGATGAAAAATAAGTTCAATGATAAAAATAAAATTTCCATTTTGGAGACGGTTGTAAGAAATTTTTTGACGTACAAAATTTTTTTTTTATTAATTTTTTTTCAATTAAAACGATGAAAACATCAATTTCCTCAATAATAATTTAAAATCAGTTGAACATAAAAAATGAGAATTTATTTTAAGTATAAAAAAAGCTAGCAGAAAATAAAATAATTATATTTAATGCATATTTAATATTATTTTTATTTCTATCGTTAAAAACAGTGACAACAATGTTGATTTGGTTTTAATAATTATAGCCAATATCTTCAAATAAGTAATATCTGTCAAAATTTAAACGAGACAGTTTAATTAGAAGAGGTAGGTGATGATCATCCTCGTAAAAACGAGTGCCCTGAGATAGCTTGCGAGAGCGCGGTAAATCGTTGTTAAAAAGAGATGTTCTCATAACGTTGGGCTCGTAAACTTTGCGCGTAATTTTAGCGAGTGGAGTATTATATTCGTGCCCTCCCCGTTCAGAGGGGAAAAGAGCAGCTTTTAAAAGCTCACCTTTCCGGCTGCACAGTCCTTTCTAATTCAGAGTAAAAAAAATATGATCCGTCTCAAATGGTATAAAAGTTTTATAATTTTTAAAATATTTGCGTGCAGCTTACGAGGAAGGCAGGATATTGGAATATTGATCACATCTCTAATTGCAAATTTAATTTATTCGTGTTTTGCATAAAAAGTTCCATTCCAGTTAACCGGAAAGCAGAGATGCAGAGAAGCTTGCAAAAAATTCGAAAGAGCGCGCATGATCAAAACATGTTGAAAGGCCTCCATGCTCCAGGGAACAAGAATGTTTTCGTATCCTTAATACTTGCGCGGCAAATTTTCCTGGACACTTTTATTCAAAGAACGAAAAGTCGATAAATTTTGTATTGCACAAGCGAAACGAGCCATTAAACAACGTCAAAAGTTTGTAAAGTAAATTTTTTAACAAAAGCGAGGAAAATTGCGTAGAATTAGTAAATGGAGGATGAAGCGGAAAATTAAATTATACCATTCATTTTTTAAGTTGGGAACATTAAATAAAGCTCATTTTACCAATTACATTAATGGAATGAGACAGTACTATTTTTCAGGTTTGTAACATAAATTTAACTACGCAAATATCAATGAGGGAATCGAAAATTAAATGAATTTGTTAAAAAAATTGGTTTTAAATTTCATTTTGTTAATTGAAAAAAATGAAAATAATTATGAGTATTTTTTAATCTATTTTGCATCCCTCACACTGCAGTTGCTAAATATGAGAAGATAAATCGAATTTCCTCTTGCCTTCATTATATCTGAAAATTCAATATTGACAGATAAATCAATTAATTATAAATATGCAGCTGAATTTTCTTACCTAACCGGCCAACGACTTATCGGCAAAACATCATTTCTCTTAGAGAGCAACTTTGATAAATAAATTACAAATTAGCAAAGGGAATGGTAGGGAATCGATTTCCTGTAGTTGGACGTCCACCGGAAAAGCTCTAAACTTGCAAGAGAGGAATGAAGACCGCGCCAAATTAAACGTCGTGGTGGCCGCAGGGAGAAAACTCTTGCGAGACAGAAATTCATTTTTGAGCCGTGGGTGTTTTCCAGCATTTGCAGGCACGCGAGACGAATTAATTAGGCCTCTGCGCGAGTGGAACGTGTGTGTGCAAAAATTTAAGTGTGCGCGCCGCAGCGAGAATTAATCCGGACGCCGCTCTTCTCCACACAGAGCCCTTTGCGCAAAATGCTAATTTGCGCAGCTTAAAAGCGAAGGCGAAGACTTATTTTGCGAGCACCGCGCTCGAATTACCACCGCGTTGCCTGAGCGACGCGCTGCACGTTAATATGATTGAATCGCGTTTCACGTGCAAAAGGAAAATTTATATTTGCCAGCGAGAGAGAGATGGAAAAAATAGGCCGAGCGTTTTTACTCGATTTATCTCGTTGGCACGGGCGGCGGAAAGTGCGATATCAAATTTCTCAGTTGGAGTGAAATTTTTCAGAGAATAAAAAGAGGCTGCCTGTGGGGATTTTGCCAGCGTTCCAACTCGCGCGCGCAATTACGTGCTCGATCATAATCTGCCTCTGAGAGTAAACGCAAAAAATCCATTCGAATGAAGAGAGAGAGATTTTTGCCTTAGTAAATACATAATTATATCTGCAAGGATTTTACAAAAGGCTACTTTAGCTTAGCGCTCTTGTGCTTTGACCGTTAATATTTGTATTATGAAGTTTTTTCTTTTAAACCAATAAAATTAACAACTTTTAAATAAAAAAATATACTTTTCCTGGGCAAAAAAC